GATGCTGGTTTATAAGGCTGTAGGTTGCCAACCTACTGAAGTCACAACGTTGACAGTGATTTGGGATACTGTAGGTTGCCAACCCAATGACGTCAAGGCATTGAGAATGCATATGATGCTGGTTTATAAGGCTGTAGCTTGCCAACCTAATCGCAGTGCCGTTCTGCGGAAAAGGGAGTCAGGTGGAGGAGAAGGTGAGTTCCTTTTTAAACGTGGAGCGATTGGTGCTGGGGTGGTTTGGGGGTTGGATTTGTGGTGAAGTGATGTTGGGGGAGTTGAGCGGAGCGGCTTTCCAATTATGGTGTTTGGATGGTGTTGGCAAGTTGTCTCCCTGCATTTGGATGTTGGAATCCCATGGACGTAGTGGGATGCGTGTGACACAAATGAGGGATTGTTAATTTGGTGCGTACAATGCGTGAAAACACGCTAGCCCCTATTTTCAGGGATCTTGGTGCCCCAAGCTGCTGCCATGATCAGTCGGCCCTCCAGTCGGAGGCCTGATGAAAAGGGGCTAAGCGATGGAAGCTGCAAAGCGGAAGAAACATAACACGACCGGTCAAAGAAGTTTGATTGTTCACCTCGTGAACAGGTCCAGTTTGACCCAGTAAAACCTTGTAGTGTCTTTGTGACCAACTCTGTAAGGCTTTTGCTCAGTGTGACTGACACGCTGACGCTCTATTTGCACATATTTGCACGGGATACTGTTCAGAGGGCATTTGTGCGTCACAGCCTCCCACTTTTGGGGGATCCACCGATCCACCTGTTCTTGTTATCAACAGCCTGGTGGATGTTTTGTGTTGCCTTTGGGGGGGGGCATGCTGAAACAGCTTTGATTTACCTTGTTAGTCATCTAAGTGTAGTCTTCATCCCTCATGCTTTTTGAAGACCTGCCACTGAGGTCTTTGCAGCGCGGCACGGATTTCCTTAAGCGCCTGGCCGGTGGTCCAAGGTTATTTTGGGGATGGCTGAAACATCCATACATCCACCTCCTGAGATCTCTCAACTCCAGACCATGGCCTTTTGCGATTGAATCGGTTGGTTGATAGAGGCAGAGGGGATACTCCCAAGTGAACACAAGCACATCATTGCTTCAGGCATCCAAGAGATCCACTACAGGCTTGTGTTCTATTCACTGTTCCAAGCTTATAAGATCTGCAACCCGAGCGGAACTCGGGCTGTTTGCTCATGGAACTGGGAGTTTTGCTTCACGTGAAGAAATGCATGGACTTGGAGCGTGTCGGAGAGGTCTTCCGGCATGTTGCTTCTCTCTCTTTACAGGGTTCCCGAAAAACGGAGACCAGGGGAACCCTCGGTGCGGAGACCAAAACTGGGCGTGCCGCCCACAATTAAGTCACACACGTCACCTACTCTCCCTTTTGGGGTAGACAGTATCATCCGGGCAAACGGAGAGAACCTTTTTCGGGGGGCGGACGGTCGGACGGCCTGTTTTTGGGCGAACGTAGTTGGATTTTCGGTGGAGGCGGCCGGCACCGGAGAACGTCGAGCACCCACTTTTCCAGCGATCCGGTGAGCACCGAACGAAGCAACGAAGGTTGAGAGGAACCAACGAAGAGAACTCTGTCTTAAGTGGATGAATTGAAGGCTAGCTATCCTCCATCCAACAAACATGGTTGGTTACGTGGAACATGGCCCCTTGCAAGACTGTTTTCCTCTACGAATGGGCTGTATTCCACTTTATCATTGTTTCAGGGAGGGTACGGTCTGCCAGAAGGGCTTGGAGATGGGTGTGGGTTCAGAATCCTCGATGAATGCACAGTGGTCGACCTGTTTTTCCATGTCGCGAGCATGCCCCGAAGTCTACATGGTGTCCTTTTCGTTGAAGGCAACACAAGTGCGTCAGCCCCCTGCAGCTCACCAAGTGAAATGGTCCCAAAGTCAACCTTGAAGTCGAGAAGAAGGTGTGGGTCAAAGCTGATTTTTGCTGTGACTCATTTCCAGACAAACTGTCCATGGATGTTATATTTACCTACCTTGCCCTGAAACCATTCCAATGTAAGTAGGTGGTCCATGTTCCACTTCATGGAGTGACTCAGAATCTGGACCCAACCCGTTCGGCAGGGTTTTGACCCTCAAAACTATGGTAGCTATATACAGGGCTTTGGACCGAACCAACATTCGGTGTGTATGATAAAGAAGGTGGGACAGCCCCCCCACACCAAGGGGCTGTGGTCCATTCTATTCGATTTTTCCGAACCTTCCAGGTCCTTTTCTCGCACTTCTATCGTCGCTGCTTGGTGTTTAACAGTTCACTCCTTTGCATGGCACTCCATGGACCGCTCGGTCTGAAGGGTACCACGCTCGTTTTGGCAGCACGCAGCACGCAGCATGCAGCACGCCCATTCGCTCGCAGCTTGGCAGCTCCGTTCCGTCACGTGAAGCTTCGCTCGTCTTGGCAGGACATCGCACGCAACACCACCGGACGGATTCGACCAATCCAGCTGCATACGATCGAACGGACCGGAACAAGGGATGGAACCAGGGATTCAAACGAGTCGACCACCATGGGTCAACACGCGAAGGTTCACCCGAAGGATGGCTCGTTCATCAGACTCTTAGGCCAAAGAAGAGGGGCTCATTCACATCGACTGCTCCATCCCACCGGGTCAGTTTCAGAGCCCGACCTAGCACCGCGACCGCCCTGGCACCGCGACCGGGCGGCTTCGAGCGCCATGCCGGAGCCGCTGATGGAACGCGTGATGGCGGTCTACAGGCGAAGACGGGGATCGAGAGACGTCCAACGCTGGAGAGGTGGGGTGTTCGGAACGGCCCCTCAATGATATCGCTAGCATAGTGGCACTAGAAGCAAGAAGCAGAAACGCATGAAGCATAAATATAGAAGGTCCCCTCAGCCCCTCATGTTTGCTCGCTGAACCACAGGAATTGTGTGAGTATGTTGTTGTTTTATCATGTTCCTGACATAGTGCAGCAATTGGCACACATGACCACAGATTGCATGCCCCTGACTCATTGGCATTCGCACTACTTCACTTGCTTCCCAGTTGCCATAGCTCCCCACACAGCCTCGGCACAACCACCTGCCTTGCCTCATCCTTGCCACATTACCTTCTTGCCCCATCCTTGCGTGTCGTGCGGCAGTTCCGCGCGCGCCCAAAACCGCGCCCCCGCGGTGTCCACGCCCAGGGAGACCGACCGGAACGACGATGGCTGGCTGGATCGCGAGGAGCTGGCGGCGATGCTGGACGCCGTGGGCATGCCGAAGGAGTGGGAGCAGTGCACAGGGATGGAAGGACGGTGCTCAGTGATGGTGGAGTGATGGTTGCTGTCCAGGTTTGCGATAGAGACCATGATCTCCATTTCTGGAGGGGAGTTACTGTACTCCAGGATCGATTCTTTTGGGGGTTCACGACTGACTGTTACTATGTAAGTGGAATTGTAACGAATATTAATGAATTATATATCACCAGTTCCACCACTTATACAAACTATCATGTGATATAGTATATCTCCATTGTACCTTTGGAATTCCGTAAACATATATATATAGAGAGAGAGTGGACTGGGTGTTACATCTTTTTACTGGAATACACGATTGAGGTCAAGTTTCAAGAGTCACTCGGACAACTCACAGGTTGAGATATCAGATTCTTGGTAGCTATAGAGTGGATGGAGAACATGTCCCTCGCTCGGAAGTGTGGCAACCCCTGTGGCCGAATGAAGCGTATGAAGCTTCAGTGACTCTTTTGATCTCTTTTATCGCAAATGCATTTTGGTCAATATTCTGGTCTTGTCAGTGAGGGAAGCAAATATGTTGGTTGTAGAACTGATTGAGATCTGGCGTTGCTTGGACATGAACAAAGGCTTGAGCATCTCAGAACCATGCTCGCCGCTGCATGTCGGCGATGTGCGACTGCTATTGGCTTTTGAAATTGTCCGTCCAACTGCCTCCAGTTGGGAGGTTTCAGTGAAACGATGCTGTTTTTCTTGTCAGCCGAAAAATAAGATCGGCAAAGAATGACACTCTCTGAAATGGGGCCATGGTCACCTGTCAGGACCTCTAGACAGCTAAGAGATGCGAATAGATGCGATATGTGATTCTGCCTGGACCCTCCTGTCGGGGTGTCCTGGCTGGACTACCCCACACTACCTAGTTGGGCTTCCAGACAGGGCACCCCGACAGGAGAGTCCTGGTGGTTCCTTGACCCAGTTCATTGGACTGTGGTCCCCCCTCCCCGCGGCCACCGGGGTCCCGACTCCTGCAAGACCTCCGCGGCTAGGAGCGCGCGGCGGCGCTTTTCGACGCGGCGGACCGCGACAAGAACGGCTTCGTGGACTTCGAGGCGGGTGCGACGTATCCCGGGACGGTGGGACCTACCGGGAGGTGAGGTGAGAGCAGTGGGGGATCGTCATGTTTTTCTTCCACCAGTAGCGTTCGGACACGCAAGTAGGGTGGAGGCCATCACAAGTAGGTTGGAGGCCATTACTAGTAACAAGACACTGTAGCGTTCGGACGCTAGGTCCTTGGAACGTTTTGGGTTGAACAAGTGAACCAAACATGGTCCTTGAAATGTTTCGTTCCAGGGTTCTCCCAGTCCTCCCTTGTACTTAGTGTCTTCCAGGTCCAGGTCCGAATGCGTTGTTGGTCCAGGTCCGGTGTCAGACTGGTGATTTGGCACACAGTGGCGCACACCAAAACCTCCACTGATGTGTTGGGCCCTGGGGAATGCAGGGTTTGCTCCAGTAGTTTGGAGGATGCCCTCTGTCAGACACCATTGAGGCTACCTCTACACCTCCCCCTCTCCCCCTCTCCCCCTCCCTCCCTCTCTCTCTTTGTGTCTCTCTATTTCTTCCCTGCACATCATGAGCTTGCACACCATACACCTGGGTCCTTCCGCTTGTCTGCGTTTCAACGCAGGAGTTTTGCGGCTGGCTCTTCTCGGACATGACTCCTGGCCAGCTGTCCGGGAACGCCGTGCCGCTTTCGGAGAGTGATGAGACATGATGAGACGTTCGGTACAATAACCCCCCAGGTAGGCTCTCCACCATACCATTAATATTCAAATATATTCAATCGATTTTAAATATATGTATATATGTTTTTATGGTCATAGTTCTTTGCTATTTTTTTCTACACTAAGAAAAGCGGCTTAACCTTCTTTTCAATGGTCTTGGAAGACTAGGCGCTTTGATACCTAGAATCGAACCCCTTTCAATGTCCCCATCTTCCCAAGCAGGACCCACAGGAAGCTGCTCCATCCCAAACACAGAAGGGCAGATCTGACACAGGAGTGGGTGGTTGGACACTCTGACCAAATGTAGGCCCTGGCATTCCAAGACCTGATTTTGTAGTGCAAAATGATTGGGATTCAGATGATCCCCTAACTCCAATGACCCAGCACCCACTTTGGGTGGGTCATTGGAGTTGTTGTCCGGATGGAAACCCCATCACAACAGGCCAGGTCGTTTCGATCCATGGCCGTTTTGGGCCGGAACCACTGGCAATCGAACATCTTAGTTCGGTTTCATATGGTTTCACTGCTGGCTCCTGGCTGGGATCAGATGTAAGCGTGTGGGGATTTGATGGTCAACGCCAGTGATAGGTCGTCACAACCCTTCAAATGGTGTTTACTTTGGCTCAAGAACTTCGCATCATGCGATTCTGCACTCTTAACATGTTTTGGTATAGGACCTTTGCATCAAATTCCAGTACTCTCCGACTCACCCACATGGAGAAGATGGAACATCACCGCCCCCACTCTCGCAGCTCGATCCGACGGAGTCGGTGTTTAGTCGACTCGGTCCGTTGGTTTCTAAGGAAGAAGGTCATGGACGTGTGTGTGAAGCAGGGAGGCATTGTGAACAAGCACCTCGGATCGACAGCTGCTCTGCTCTGCTCTGCTCTGCTCTGCTCTGCTCTGCTTGTTTGGCACTCTGGCCATCCAATCTCTATGGACCCTGGTCTCCTTGTTCTTTTTTTCGGGTTGGGATGGGCCCTGGGCCTCCAGGTCTCTTCATTGACATGACCTGGTCTCACCGGTCGGGTGCGACGATGCCTCTCGAAGAATGGTGGAGAGACCTTAAGGCACTTGAACGTGGAGATGACCGTGGGCGATGTCTTGTGCTACGGCCTCGATGAGAAGTTGGTTTGCCACTGGGCCATCGCAGGAAGTGGACGAGCCGGGGAGGGGTCCAGATGAGTCATTGTTGAACATGCTGAACTGCAGAAGCTACTAGTACACAAGGACGCTACAGCTGGAGGCCATCGCAAGTAGGTTGGAGGCCAGAAGCTACGAACGTAACAAGAAGCTACTAGCAAGGACGCTGGGTCCTTAGAGTGTTTTGGGATGTTTTGGGTTGTAACTCATTCCCAGAGGCTCGACACGAAAAAGAACTCCTACAAGGGAGTCCAGGTGGGAAGGTCCAAGTGGAGTTGCTTTCGGGTCAGGTCACTCGCCCGAAAACCCAACGGATGGTCCAATGGAGTTCAACGTGGGGTCGATGCACCGCCTCAGGCAGCAACTTTAGATACGAGATGAGCGTGCAGCCCGACGACGAGACCCTGAAGCACTTGGAATCTCGGGGGAAGATCTATGGTGAAGAAGAGAAGAAGCGCCAGGCGAAGAAGCGCCGGTGTTCTAACCGTGCGAGGGCTTTTTGAGCGGATTGGAGCACTGGAGCGATACGTGCGGTGTTTTGACCGTGCGGGAGGTGATTGACACGCCACGATTGGCACTGTGTTGTGTCGCTGTGTTCTGTTGTGGCGCTGTGTTCTGTGCGAGAGGAGTCTGAGAGTCAGTGGTCAAAAGGAGACCGTTCGACAAGGTGACACCTCAAGCCCACCACAAGCCATGCCAAGCACAAACAATAAGCTATGCCAGCCTTTCCAAATGCCAACCACAAGCCACTTGAACACACAGATGGCCCTCACTGGCCTTCATATGGATGGCAACTCCAAGCTCCTGAGGAGTTGCTTCTAGTTGGTTGTTGCTCTTTACATGTCGCGTTCTACACGCTCTTTGTGACAGCGTCCTTCCCAGCGAATTCCTCCCTTTCACTCGGTCACCGCGTAGACAGTCATTACTCCACCGGTCAGTCACTTCGAGAGATGCCAACGACCCACATCGCGACTGGATTCCGTTCTAAGAAGCTGAACGGACTGGAACGACTGCAACGGACCTCCCAGCTTCTTGCTTGAGAAAACAAGAACCTCCCGCGACCTGAGTCGGTCGTCCGAGGGAGAGTTCGAACTCCACCATGCATCGAAAAAGAAACACACCTGGACCCTCCGACCCTCGGGGTGTCCTGGCTGGACTACCCCACTACCTAGTTGGGCTTCCAGACAGGGCACCCCGACAGGAGGGTCCTGGCAGTGTTCTTGTTTACAGCAGAAGTTGGCGTGAATGAACCGTGGTCGTGGTGCCTTCTCATTTCTTCAGTCGTATCAACTTCTTGGTAAACCCCCTGCGACCCTCCAACGGATGGCAGCCTGTCTTCCAAGTCTGGGTGAACAAGTGGCGGCTTGGCTGCTGGCCTAAACTTGGCCACAACTCATGGGTGGGGATAGGAGACATGGGTGTAAAGCAGTGGTAGAAAAGATGTAAAAAGGGGTCTCGAGGATGATGTCCTGATAAATCAGAGACTGCATGGATGATGTACCCACTTCTGCCACCCACTATAACCGGCCCCCCACTCCCCCGCCCGCGCACACACTCTGACATTGGTTTGCTGTTAACTCAATTCCCAAGTGGAAGGAAGGTGAGAGAACCGCAAGGTGAAAAGGTCAGCGCAACTGAATTGTTTAACGATCTGTTCACTCATCTGCAGAACGCGGCTGAACGACGGCGGCTGAAGGCAGCGGTGGAAAACCTGTTTGTGGGAAAGTATCGTGAGCAACCACCATGCAACCAAATCGAAAAACAGCTTGATCAAAAGTTGAGCGCAGGTACGTCGAAAGAGCGTCCTCTTTCGATATCCTAGTCTGAACCTGGAGCTTCGTTGGCTCACGCCAGGAACAGACCCGTGAGCCCCCTGCGACTTGAAAGTTAAGAAAAAACAGAAGCTCTTAGTTACAGAGGTGGACACACACAGAACGCCGATATCGGCGCTCTGGAGGAACTTACTAATCACCTAAAAAGCTTTAGAAAGGAAAGAAAAGAAAGACAGAAAGGAAAACGCAAAGGAAAGAGAGAAAGATAGGTGTAGTGACAAGGCCCACTAGTTACGAAGCCTGCTAGTTACTGACTACTTAGCCGCATGAATTAAATGCACTAGTTAGCGAGCGGGACATACCCCGCCCGGGTAGCTAGGAGTAGAAAAGGAGAAACAGAAGGAAAGGTACCGACACACACAAGTGTGTCGAGTACCATTTCCTTCTGTTACCCTAAATAGCAGGTGGGATAGAAACACGAACTAGGTTGCAAGGTGGGTGTGTGTGTGTGGAAGTGCAAAACGTGGAAGTGAGTCGAATTCAAGTGGCTGGAGTTTCCGTGAAGCCCGGCGGCGTAGGTGGCAGTTAATACAGTTGTGAAACAAAGTCCGTGAAGAGAATCCAAGGTATGGTGGAAGCGGTGAAAGCAGTTACACGAATTCCGGAATGAGAGCGGCGCCTCCTTGCGGAGGATCACACCCAGCACCCAAGTGGGACGACTGAGCGAGTCACACTCTGACATTGGTTTGCTGTCAACTCAATTCCCAAGTGGAAGGAAGGTGAGAGAACCGCAAGGTGAAAAGGTCAGCGCAACTGAATTGTTTAACGATCTGTTCACTCATCTGCAGAACGCGGCTGAACGACGGCGGCTGAAGGCAGCGGTGGGAAACCTGTTTGTGGGGAAAGTATCGTGAGCAACCACCATGCAACCAAATCGAAAAACAGCTTGATCAAAAGTTGAGCGCAGGTACGTCGAAAGAGCGTCCTCTTTCGATATCCTAGTCTGAACCTGGAGCTTCGTTGGCTCACGCCAGGAACAGACCCGTGAGCCCCCTGCGACTTGACAGTTAAGAAAAAACAGAAACTCTTAGTTACAGAGGTGGACACACACACACACACCTCAAATCTTCGGCACTTCTGCCACCCAACGCACCGACCGGGCCGACGGGGGCTGACGACCCCCGATCCAGGTGGACGCTTTAGAGAAGGCGCTGGTGGATGCCAAGTCCAAGTTAGAGGCCGGCCGAGGAACTGGAGAGGACGCCGCCTCGGTCGTGCGATCTCGGGGTTGGGGTAGGATGAGTTTAGGGTGGGATAGGTGTTTCTCCATGTGGATCCAGTGTGAAGGATTCTTCCCGTCATGGAGATAAGGAAGATAAAGAAGGATGTTCATTTAACATCCTTGATCGGCATTCGTTGCTCATGAAAAACACTCGATGGGACTGGCAGCCATTACCTACATGGGCCCCTAAACAGAACCGCCTCAATCTATGCCATATGTTCTGTACATGGAGTGTTGGGTTGCACTCCTTGAAATCATCCATGGTATGGCGTGGATGGCATGGCCCGTGAGTGGGCCCCTTTCGTTCGGATAACCATGACATCCGAAGACCAGTCCAAGGTGATTTTCCCAAGGAGTGTATAACCTTTCACGGGTACAAGGTTAATGGATGATTCCTTGGAGTCTAGCCCATTACACGCAGAATCCATGCGAAAATCTGCCCTCGCCGTCCTTACCGGCTTCGAGAGCCGCAGTCACCAGCTCAAAAAAACTAATACACAGTGCTCTTCTGAACAAAGGTGCCAGCTGGTTTCTTCTTAATATCTGCATGTGGCCCTCCTGTCACAGGATGCTCCTCACATTCTACAAAAGAGGAACGGTCGGGAGCGTTTCCGCCGCAGCTCGGTCCTCTTCGGCCCGTGCCCTCGTGCGACCAGGCTGCAAAGGCCAAGGCGGCGAAGAAGAACCCCAAAGACGCCAAGAAGGAGATCGACAAAGCCAAGGACCGCTGAGAACGACCCAATCGCGCACCGCAGGACAGACGAGCGCATCCACTAGAGGTTTTGATGGCCGGGTTGGCCAGTCCATGGCCATCCCTCCAAAAAAGAAAGTCAATCGATTTTGCGAGCGATCTTCGCCGTTGTTTGGGATGTCGCTTGGTTGAAAACGTCCAGACCTTCGGGCCAGTTCCGTCCGATGCACTGAATGCCCCCGACAAGGACGAGAAAGTGGAACCCACGGCGGAGGAGCTGGCTGTGATAGATGCAGAACGCCACGTGGTTTTGAGGGGGCTTGTTTTCTGCGATCGCCCAGGGGGTGTGGGAAAAGGACTGCTATTGGAAAGGTTGAAATACCGATAAGATGTCCAATCACATCACAGTATAGCCCAGCAAGTCTTTGTAAATTTGATTAAATTTGTAGTTTCAGTCGGATTTGTAAATTTGTTGTTGTAAAATATACAGGTGATCCATGGCACCAGTGACACTGGTCTCCTAGACCGAGTTGGAAACATACATCACACCCCAGACACGTGCAACTACATCAGAGTGCATCAGAGTGCATCCAAACCTCCAGAAAGATGCGGAAGGCCCCTGTCTTTTCGCATGTTTTACACTGTGACACTTGTCCACACTGCAGCTTTGATGGCGTTCTTGTTTGTGTTTCTGAGGATGTTGCATTGATTTGCACAACTTTTTTGTGTTCCTTTTTCCTTGAGGATTTGCCTAGTTTGAAGAGAAGTCTTCGCGTTGGGGACATCTTTTTTGGGGAATAGGAAGAGGGTTCACAGTGGAACTTGGTGTTCCGTTGATTGGGTTCGCACGTTCTTTTGTGGGTATACAGTGTTTGAGGCTGCTCACTAAGTGATCCCCACATGTTTGTTTCCAAGACGAGACGGGGCAGCAGACCTCCAGTGCTTCTCCACAGATTGTACTGCACTCACATCTTTCTCAGTGATGCTTCTACCGGACTTGTTCAGATCGCCAGCATTCACCAGCGATGTTCTGTTTCCCCACCCAACGACTCTGACTCTTTCATACCTGTCACAAGGTACGACAATAGCATCATCATGCGTCATCCGTAGGTACAACCACCGCCTTGTGATATCATCTCAAGATCATGTTAAAATTAGACAACCACCGAGATCACATGAGATCATCAATCCTCCTAATTTTCACCTTCCAGCCCCGATTGTAGTCATACTCATTGCCCTGTCAGGCAGCGGTTCTTCCGTTCGGATCGTGTTTCAGTGCTGAGGGACTGATCATGTCTCGATAGATGGTGGCATTACTACGCCCTGGAAGATTAACAAACATGAAAACCACTGAGGTTGTAGAGGAAAATCGTCTTCCAAGACGGACCATGCCAAGCCCAGTTCCATGTGGGTCTCTTCCCGGGTGTGGCTGCCGGCGGCAAATACCATGTGATTGTGCTCATCACTCGTGACTGGTGCTGAGAAAACCTGGCACTACAGAGGGCACATTCGGATTTGCCACTGTCATGCATGCCCGACAGGAACCACCGGAGTCTCCTTTGAGTCTTTCCGCTTTTACTACTGCTCCGCACACACTCAGACGGCCTCAGAGCTATTCTTAACCCGGCATAACAAGGAGCTGCTTCACACCACAAGGAGGCATTCAGCTCCTCAGCGGCTCTCCGCCGTCATCGACCGATCAGTCGGTCGCTCGATCAGTGGGGCATACGCACGGAGCATCACGGAGCGACACAGCGACGCGTCGGTACTTCACGATCAACGAGGCTCCTGCAATTGGTGCAGAGTGACGGTTGGTCTTTGAGTGGTTAACAGATTAGCGGCGAATGAGTGTATGCATGAGGCACTATCACAGATGTACGCGTTGGATGTCTGGCTTAATAGCAAATGATGCTCAGCGTGGCGGACAATGACCTGAGAGTTCTGTTGCTCTTTGCGAACGCTGGCCGGTTTTAATTTTATGCAGGAATGCCAATGCATTATTCCTCAGAATGTCAGATCCATCATCTAGGATCCTAGAGATTTTAGGATCTTTCTCTGACATGAGGTGCTTCAAGTCAACAAACTGCTAAGCCGACTGTGCTGCTCTGTGTAATGATATATGTGATTATATTCCATTGAGGGCTCTCCAACGGTCCTTAATATCTTGAAGTGTAGGATGCTTCCAATGATCCAATGGTTGCCCCAGTAGCACCTGGACACTCCAAAAAGAATGTTTGTTGGATCTGTTCTATGAGTGGACCTGTCACCCAGTACCTGTTGGCCAGGATTTACTATTCAAGTTGCCTTATTCATCCTTATTCGAACTTCTGCAGAAGACCATGTACCACTTATAAATATTACATAATGACAATTATTGATAATACTATAGGAACCTTCAGTTGCATTCAGTTCCTTCATCTGTGAGTTAGCTTCGCACCTCATCCATGTGCCGGAAAACCCCTGCCGTCACTCGCACGTGACACCCAAGCGGGTTCCGACCGGCGGCTTCCGACCGGGACCCAGGCAAGGTCGAAACCGCCGAGAAGGCCAAAGCACGTGCATCTCGGCCGAGTCGAAGACGCCGAGAACGGAGGATGAAGAACGGAGGTCTGAGAAGGTGGAGGTGATGGAGGTGATAAGGGGTGGAGAGAATGCTGGGCGTTGAGATCCAATGAGCGAGTTCCACCATGTGCCACCTGTGATGATAGTACGTCTTGTTCAAAGGAACAGTCAAACTGGACCTACTCGAGAAAAGGCCCTCGAGATGATGCGTTTTTTTTTTCCACAGCTGTCGAACCTTCTCCAAGGTGGGCACTCCTCTTGTACTCGTCACAGCGGCACTCCATCCAGACTCTCCGAAACCTTCGGGCCGGTCACGCCGGTCACGCCTGAGCCGACGTTCTAGTTGACCTGCGACCAGTTGACGGGGCAGTCCGTTGGTGCCACTTCCGAGGTTTAAAGTCCTGCAGTTCTCGCTGTTGAAAGTCTTTCTTGTTCTCGGAGTTACTGTTTTTTTTGTTTATTTTTGCAGTCTTGAGGTGGAAGAAGCGCCAGCAGAGCCTCAGAAGGTGGTGCTCTTGGAGAAGGTCTTTGAGGATTTGGCACCGCGGCTGAGCGGCCGAGCTTGGATGGGCTTTGATGAGTTTTTGAGGGGAAACTCAGGTAGTTTTATACCTCTTTAACAACTCAGCCCTAAAAAATGTGAAGAAGAAGACTTTGTAAGAGCAGCCAGACAAAAATGAGGAGACCTGCAAAAAACGAGATCGCTGCCCATAATACATGCAGCGACTGAAATGGAGACAACGAAGCTCCCAGCTTGCCGAAACTGGCTTTCGAGGTTCGGTCCTCACGACCCCGGAACGACACGTCGAGGTCCCCAGGCCGAAAGGGGACTGAAACAGTTTAGATATAGACTAGACCTGGAAGTCACTCCATGACCATTTTAACCAATTAATGGTCTTTGGATGACCCGAAAATGAGTTTTCTTTACTTGGGTGGTGTCCAAAATAGTCGAACTGGACTTCTAGGGTCTTGATAGAGAACATGGATGACCTACCTTTGGATGGGATCCGGTTTTTCCACGGCCGGCTGCCACGCTCGCGACTCCATTCGCCTCTAGACTCGGCTCTTCTCAAGGTCTCCGTGGAGGATGTCTCTTCAGGCGAAGTGGAAGGGATGGAAGAGGTGGTGACCGAACGCGCTCGAAGAGGGAATCTCTTGGGATGGTGAACATTGAGTCGAGTTCTTATTTTCTTGTTCTGCTTCATTATAGATCAATTGAATTCATGTCTTGTTATTGTATCTGAGTTGATTCTTGTTGTGTTGTTTCTCTCATTGAGATTGCTGCACTGGATGGTGTGAAGATTTAATCAGTAGTTGTGAGGGGTGTGTTTCTTCTTGAACCTACACTATTCACTATCAAACAATAAGATCATGACAGTCGATCTTGCTTCGAAGACCAACTAGAGTCCATCCCCCTTGATGATCTGAGAGTCTGAGAGCGGGTAGAGGTTAACTGCATGGACATCTATATGTCTTTCCATCTCACCGACCTCACCCGAAAGGGTCAGACCTACGGACCAGCCCGGACCTACCATCCGATGGATCGATGCTCAACAAAAGAGTGGGACCCCTGACAGGTGACCAGAACGATCTCACCAGATCACGATTCTCAGTCGGTCGCTCGATGTGCATGTTCACTCTTTACCGGTCCGATGCCCATGCTTCCCATCGTTCAATGTCTTCTGTCTGACATGCGCCGGGATGTTCCCAGTGAGGCTCCTCTGGGGCACATGTTCTCAAATGGAAAGCCAAAGAAGAAGGAACAGCCTTGGTGCCGCTGGGCAGCGACGCAAGGGTGGAAGCCACGCGCAAGCTTGGCAAGCTTGCACGAGCGATCTCGGACGCGCCACCGCTTAAGCTGGTTCATGTCTTTTCAGGTAGGATGTTTTCGGGTGAAAGCTTGGATGTAACTATTTGTTGATATTTGTTGAGTTGTTGCTCTTTGGCACGATCTTTTTTTTGTAGGTCCCCAAAGATGATCATCCACTGCTGGTGCTCATTGCATGGCATGGATCCAATTCAAATTCTGAATTCTTGCCTGTCAGAACTGGCTCAAGTATGCTGACGTCTGTTAGGCCAATCCCCATAGAAACCACTACTTTGGGAAGTCGGGGGTGTTCCAAGAGTCGGTTCGTCCATTGGACCCCTCGAAAGCCTCACATTGGTTTGATGAAGACCAGGAGGTGTCATGAAGACCAGCCATCCATGGAGGAAGTCGGAGACGGAAGTCGGTGCCATCGGCGAATCGGGGCGCTTTTCTTTCACATCACATCCATTCTTCCCCGAAAGAAGGGACGAGCCACACCACCCAACTCAACTCCATGTGAGTCCTGGAAGATTTGTTCTTTGGATCACTCCTTCCGACATGGAACATCTTCCTTCGTAGAGAAGCGGGTCGACCGAGGGACACTGGGTCGTGGGTAGGGACTCTGGGTGACTGTGGGTTCTGTTGTTGCCCCTTGAGGTGCAGCTGCCTATGTGTTTTGGCCCCCCTACCGACTTCAGAAGGCATGAAGGGTGATTTGCATGCCATCCCCATATGGGGGATTGGTTCATACAATGGGCTTTCATATTGGAATCAGACAAACAGACAAATACTACCTAGACACTCCGTGTATGGCATAGTTGCATACATTGATCCCTGAAACCACGCCAATGTAGGTATCTATGCCATTCCGATGGAGTGTCTAGGCTAACTGAACAAAGATTTGGGTTCGATGAACCTTGAACCTCCATGTTTAGTCTGATAGTCATTTCAAGCCGTTTTCGCTCTGACAACGACACCCCACCGGCCTCGATTCACGATTGATCTCAGGAAACTCTTGCAGCACTATACGGTGGTCGGCACCTGAGATCCTGTTCCCGAGTTGGGTACCCTCATGGTGAATGGGAATATGGAATGTGTTTCTTTTTTCCCCACCCCCCCCGGCGCTCTCTCTCTCTCTCTATCCCCGTTCTCAACCTCAGGTCCCAACATGTAGGGAATATGTGGGAGTTATCCAAAAGGTCCTTGTAAGGGTTCTTAATGTCAAGAGCCTTGGATGACATGATCGTGGGTCTCGCGAAAGTTTTTTTTCGAGTTCGCGAATGTTAATGTTTTTTTCGCGAAAGATTCGCGAAAGTATGAATTTTTATTGTATGTTCTTTGGCGAGCCTTCAGGCTTGCCCCATGCATAACCACATCCTTTTCTGACCGTCAGCAGCTTCAACTTTGGAATCCGTGTGAAGCTTCCTTCCTGTTTCATGTAGTCCACCCTATGTTATGTATGCTGTAAACACCTCCAAAGCACAGGGATTATTTCGCGAAAGTTTCGCGAAAGTCTGGCGAAGGTTTCGGCGAATGAATCGGCTCCAGAGGAACCCCGTAGCCCATAGCAACCCCACAAACTGTATTTAGAAATCGAGTCCCTACCAGGTTAAATGGTTTCATGACATGGTGAACCCCCGCGAAAGAAAAACACAGGGTTCGCGAAAGTTTCGCGAATGTTAATGTTTTTTTCGCGAAGAATGGCCGTTTCTATAAACAAGAATATTGGACAACCACCATGTTTGCCTGGGTGCTGCCTGAACAACTCTTCAACGTTCTCCACCAAACCATGCAAGCCTGGAGACTGTGCAAGGAGTAAAGCGAGCTCACCTGTAGCTGTAACCATTGCGACTCTGACTTGGATAGCGCATGGTGCACTCCCATGTCACTATCCATTGATGAAAGGACAAATGAAGCAAAACTTGTGGGTTCGACCCATCACCCGGTGGCGAAAACAACACAAATCATCACAAATCCTCCGCCACCGGACTCGCTGTTACTTACTGTACCTGAAATTCCTCAAGCCCCGGTCGGCTTTCGCATGTGCCCAGGTCGAAGGGGAAGAGGAGACGGAAGTCGAGAAGGTGCCGCCTCCTGCCGCACGTGCCACGTCGCCGACGGCCCGAGAGTGGTCGGGTCCGTGGGCGGAGTCGGGTCGGGCCGCGCTTGGAATCGGAATGGCGGATCCCAGGAGTCGTTCCAGGAAAACATCTTGGATCGTTCGCGGCCAGATGGGGGGGTTCTGGATGCAACTGGTGTGGCTCCTGCAGCCTGGTGCAAGAAGTTCTTCCCCTCAGGATTCTCACCTCCAAGTGGTGGAAACTGCCAGTGATCCTGCAATATCCTGCAATCTTCAGCAGCCGATTGCTGGACAATACCGATTTGAGGAGCTTGGATCCTATACATGATCCTTCAACCCAAGTGAGTGCGAGTTAAAAACTGAGGAACAAATGAACCGCCCAACTGCTCAACCGGAAGCCAACCCAAGCACGGTATTCATCTCCAAGCTGGACGCCAGCAAAAAGAAGGTGGAAATACCGGATCTTGTGCACAATCCAAGCCCTTGCTCAACTGTATATACATAGAAGGCAACATCATCCAACCCAAAGCAGTTGCAATCCAAGCAAAAGCCATCACACACCTCAACAACCCATATGCCCGAGCAGAAAGACGGCTCCCTTCAAGCCAGCACCCCTGATAGACTTGACCTCGCAACAATTTGGCGTGGATTAGCTAGTAATTACAGACCTCCCATGCAACGACCACTCTGGGTTCGGTTCAGGAAATAGACCAGTCTACCCCTTGGGGTATTTCGGGGTCTATATTGAAGTATCCACCGAAGGGGGGCTCCCTTCAAGCATCTCTCTCTTCGCCGTTGGTCGGACCTTCCTTCGCCACCGAAGACGACGGCCGAGTGCACTCACCGACAGGTGGAGACCTTCGACTTCACCGTGAAGGTCGTTCCACCTGCCGGGTCCTCGTGCCTCGGCGGACCGGTGATGGCTTCGGCCACTCGTCGGTCGCTGGCACCCAGTGGGCTGGTGGTGATTGGATGGAAAACACCGGGAACTTGGGGAAGTTCCCCAAGAACCACCCGACCTGGGTGGTGCGCAAATGGAGGATGCAGGTCCTTTCATGGTGCTTCACGTTTTGGGTTCGACGCTCCGGCCTACCGCACCATGAGGCGGTCTGTGTGGGGGTTTTGGATGGGTGTTTGGGGTCTAAGCCCCCCCAACCCGAGGAGCTTGTTATGGATTCATTGAGGATGTTCAAGACGAGGTCGGATTTTTGGTTGGCTCCCTGAAGTGAATGGCATGACGGCATGGCTCACTGCCCCGCGTTCCTTCGGGTGACCCGATAGAGACTCTGTCCGCAGACGACGAACTCCAGCGACCATGGACAGGATTCCAGAAACCTGGGACTTCTAGGACATGGAATGCTGGGAAATGTGAGGATCCAAAGTCAGGATCCCTCAGTTTTAGGTACACCCTGAAAGACTGGTTACGTGGATGGCATGGCCCCGATTTCACCATGAACTCGACAAACAGGTGGTTTTCACTCCACGTAACCATGTGAGTTTTCGGGAGTGTAGCCGTAATTTCTCAGTGGATCTTGCAACTACACTCAGATATATACCTCTCTCAAACAACTCGATGCCTGAGTCCACGGCAGAAGAACTTCGGTGAGAACGAACGGGCCACGTTCCGTTAACGAACGTAGTCACTCGTGGTCACTCGGTTTGCTCAGGAAAGCTGACTGGTATGCTTGGAGTTGGTATGATGTGAAGTGGGTGAAAGCACCCGCCAACAAGGCACGGGTTTGTCGCGCATTGTTCGCCTGCAAGCGTAATACCCAAGGTCACCTAGAGTTGGACTCACAGCATCACACTCAGCGCCACTCAGCATGTCTCAAAAAAGAAAACAAGGCCGGTGGACGGACGGCAGCACCCAGTGAACTGTGATTGGATTGAAAAAGCCTTTTTGTGTTCACCTTTCCAATCCAATCACCCAATCCACCGGTGAAGGTGAACGGAATGGACGGTGGCCCGGTGAACACCGGTGAACGAATCGATCAAACGATCAAACGACGGAGCCCCAAATGCCAGGGGCTTCGCCCTAGCCCGTTTCCCACCCAACTCCAGTGGGAAACGATCTATGCGCTGTGTGGTCGTGTGGCTGCATTCAGTCGTTTACTTCCTCAATCTTTGGAGCTATGTATGGGACTCATGCATGGCCTTTTGACTGGTTGGTTGGTTGGTTGGTAAATAGAGGGGATACCCCAAAAGTGTACAACCGATGGGTATATGGTACCTGGCACCGACCCCTTTATTCTTCCCAAAAGGACATCATTGTTGGGACTGTGGGAAAAGCTTGGGATTTCCTGGGCATGTTGGACGCTTTGAGTCCAACGTGGATCAACGAACAACGACCAATGGCTCAGAGGACCGCCACCAGCCCAGGCAGGGAATTGTGGACCATGGACCAACCGCGGAAGTATCTGAATGGATATGGACATATATGGACCATGTGATGCATATATGCATCCACATCTAAGCTTTGGTTAAACATGGTGATGTTGTCCACAAAGATAAAGACGTTATATGGTTATATATATAATTATATAGCTGCACATAGTTACACAATCTAAGCACATATACTGTATACGTGAAGACAACCAATCGCAAATGGTTGTCACTGGAGTTACTAACAATCCAATTCATGTTCATTTCATTCATGGAAAACCGGTCGCAACATCTTCGACTCCTTCGTCTTCGTTCGTCTCAGTCTTCTGCCAACCACTGGTCAAGTGGAGACCATCCCCAGCTTCCCAGGCCGACAAGTTCGCCAAGAAGATGGGCAAAGCGGCCATGGAGAGCCCGACACCCGCGACGCAACGCCGTGCGACGCGCCCAGGTGACGCTCTCACATCCTCCAAGACAAAGGAACAAGATAGAGGTCTATAGCATGGATGTATTCTTTTTTTTTGGTGGGCACAAAAGCCCAGGAGGTGGGGGCATTGTTGGTGTATGTGCGTGTTTGTCCTTTTTGTGTGTTGGGGCTGGTGGTGGCTCGAAGGACGTTTGGTTTGCATTGGTGTGCTATTTGCGGTGCAAGGTCCGGCCCAGCTGTTGATCCGCTAGAGAAGGCCACAACATCAGTCTCATGCCAAGAAGTTTTCACGTGCTTCGACCCATGATGAGGATGTCGAGGTCACTGCCAGCCTCTCCAGGCCTTGTGAAAAGCTGCTTCAAAGTCCCTTCTGCAATTGCTCTGACGTGCGGGATGTAGGGATACCATAATAGTGGATGCGTCACGTAGCTCAAATCATTGAGACCAAGCCAACCCCCGTTCGATCGCCCGACCAGTCTACCCAGCCAGCAATCGGGTGGACCGGGCCGAGATCTCGTGTGTTTTGCCGAAAAATACCACAAAACACCCAGACACCAACGGCCAGGGACTGCCAGGACGGACTGCCTTCAAAACGGCCAGGGAGGGGTCTACCGGTCTCCGGCCGTGGTTCACGGAAACGGCGCGCTTCGTGCGGGAGACGTGCGGAAGAAGTGGTGTGGCGGCGAAAGAGAAGGCGATTGATTTCAGTACTGTTGTCAGATGGTCTGACGTTGAAGCAGATGAGACATGATGAGACCTTTGATTGCAAGAGCCTTGGCAATCGCGCTCCTGACGCAGTCACGTTAAACATGTGGACAATGGTGTGTGGTCAAGTCAAGAGGGGGGCATCCTTAGATATGGGTACTCCGCAGAATCAAACGTCTGGTGTCGGTTATTGAGCCGAAGCTTAGATTCTTGAGCGCGGCCGAAGATGAGTTTTGGCATGGAGACAAAGGTCTTTGGGTTTGCCACTTGAGTTGTCTTCTCTTGGGAGATGACAAAGTACATCCGCTCGGCTTGATGGGGAAGTAGAGCTGCAGCCAAAAGCAGTGCTTTCTTCAATATTTTGTGTTGTCATGCTTGTCTTCGTTCGGGCTGCAGCCTGGCAAGTTGCTTTGCTTCGTTTGCCACAATTATACCTGCGCTGATATGCGCTGATCATTTGTCATAATTAGCTGTCTGCCAACAGCATGCAAGCTGCAGGTTGCTTTGATGGTTCTGTGCTTTGGACTCTGGATATGATATGCAGATTTTGTTTGCTGGAACATTAGACATTGAGGGACCATAAAAGGACCTTTGCAACTTGTTCATTCTTGTCAGAGTCAGAAAAGATATGTTTAACTTAACAGCAAGCGGATCATTCAAGAAACAATCCTTACCTGCCCTCTTGATTTGTTTTGGCATTTTGTCTACTGAAAAAGGACATGCAGAGCCGTGGCACAATAGGACAAGCATACGTGAACATACGCAAACAACATGTGTCAAAGGTGGGTGTGCTATTTCTCTTTGGGGGGAGTTATTCCAAATACATTACTTCTTTGCATCTGCATTTGTCTTACATGCATGTGGCAAACGAGTTTTCGACGGAGATCGTTTTCAATTCCTTAGGTTGCAAATCACAGGCCTTCAAGGAATCAAAGATTGTGTCTTGCACCTGGGTACAAGCTGTACAAGCTGGTTAGTGTTGTCGCAGATTTGATAGGTAGGCTTTTTAGGTTCAATGCTGCAGACAAGGCGAGCACAGAACACAGGAACTGAAGAGTTCATGGACAACTTCCATTTTCTCAGAGAATCCTTTCATTTCTTTTCTGAGGGGATGCGCAGATTTCTTTTTGTGTACGCCCATGTCGGACAATGTGTGTTTACAAGCGCGGCAGCTTCAGAACTTTCTGCAAGCTTTTGTTCAGAATGCTACTGGGTGCTCGGGTTAACTTGTCTCGAATGGCATGAACTTGTGCCAGATGAGGTGTGCCCTTGGGGGAAAGCTTGATTGGGCTAAGTTTTTGTATGTATGTTGTTGTTGATCACAGGTTGAGAATTCGACCAAACCGCAAGGGCACACTGTTGATTCTGTCTCAAATTTACGAAATTTATTGTACTCCCAAGTGCGCCGTTGCGATTTCATGTTTTCGGCTTCACTACATTGTGAGTAGGTATTTTTCAACAATCGTTGCGAAACGGTGTCCCCAAGCAGTTTTGTGTCTAGGAGTGTAGACGATCATTGTTTGGTCACTTCATACTGTGGTTTTTGTTCTTTTTGGTGACTAGTGCTTGGAATACAACCAGCCTCAAGTTGCGCTTCCCAACCAATGTTGGGACAGAAAGGGGGCAGGCCTCATTTGCCTCGTGCATTTGTTTCTACATACTGGGTGCCTGTGTTTACCCCTATCGTGATCAAGATCTCGTATGGAAGCCGGTGTGCCATTGTGGGGAGCAATCAAAGCAGTGCAAACTAGAAGAGACGAGCAACATACTTCTCCATCTTATTGATGCCAGATCTGCGTGGCACACTGGCTTTTTCGCGTTCACACTGCAATGTGAAACCAGTATACCATTGGGGTGAGCTATCGAATAGCTATGAAATTGAACTTGTTTCTAGAGGTTTCTTTTGTCAACCCATAGTTGAAGCCTTTTCGAGAAGGCCCCATCTCCATCAAAGCGGATGAGCGAGGAGCAGTCTGATTAGTGTTTTTGACAAGTCGTTGCGAAGCGTGTCCCCACACAGTTGCGTGTCTAGGGGTGGAGGCGTTTGTTGTTTGGTAATCTTTGGTAATCAATATATGTCGGGCTTGCTGCTGGTTTTCTGCTGCTGCTGCCGCCTTGCTGCTGCTGGTTGGCTACTGCTGCTGCTGGCGGTTGGCTGCTGTTGGTTTGCTGCTGGTTGGCTGCTGCTGCTGCTGCTGCTGGCTGATTGCTGCCGGTGTTGCTGCTTGCTGCTTGGTTGTTGCTGGTGCTGCTGCTTGCTGCTTGCTGCTGCTTGTCGCTGCCGCTGCTCCTACTCACTTGCTGCCTGTCATTGCTTTGCACGCCCTATGATTATAGCAGGTTTCTTCCATTGCAGACTGGGTATTGGAAACATGATTTCAAGCTTGGTGGCAGGCCTGTTTGGTGAAACGCGGTGCCTCCATGCGGAAACAAGTATCGCAAGGACGTTGCCGTGACTTAGTCGTGGCGTGGTGTCCCAGTATATGACTGGTTGCCACAGCTGCGTTGCGTTGCAAGGACTTTTGTGTTTGGGTGTTAGTGGGCATGGGTCTTCTGGGCAAACGTGTTCATCTCGCCCAATACCTCGCCCACATCTCGCCCTCTATCTCGCCCAACCCGCCAGGCACCAGGACCAACGCATATGTGTAAGAAAAGGCCTCTTCAATTTACATGGGCCCTCCAGGCAAGGAGCGATTTGCAGGGTTCATGTCTTCAAGCGTTCATGTTCACATTTTTCGCAGGTGTGCCATGCGGAAGGAACGCGCGCGCACAGACACCAAAAAAGGCAAAACGCAAGCTAACCATGGGCATTGTTGTGGTCTTAGCATACTTCTGGCAGAGGTCGCAAGCGGGTGTGCCACACCGTTTTCACCAATCCCACAACACAGACGATTTGGTTTCTAGCCTCTGTTGGTTTGCTGCTGGTTGGGTGCTGCTGCTGCTTCTGCTGCTGCTGCGCTGTGCTGTTTTGCTGCTGGTGGTTGGCTGCGGCCAGTTGCTGCTGGTTGGCTACTACTGCTGGTTAGCTGCTGCTGGCTTCGTGCTGCCTGCTGTTTGGCTGCTGCTGGTTTGCTGCTGCCGGCTTGCTGCTGCTGTTTGGCCGCTGCTGGTGGGATGCTGCTGGTTACCTTCTGCTGCTGTTGGGTTGTTGGTGTTGTTTTGCTGCTGGTTGGCTGCTTGCTGCTGCTTGCTGCTGCCGCTGCCGCTGCCTGCGCTACAAAGCCTACTCATTTGCTGCTGGCTGTTGTTGCACAAACCCTATCATTGTGGCAGTGTTGTAAACTGGGCTTGGAAAGCATGGGTTTTGGCTTAGATGGCCTGTTTGGTGACGCGGTGTCCCATGCGGAAATTAAGTGCTGCAAGGACTCTGCCGTGACTTAGTCGTGGTGTGGTGTCACAGTGTGATTTGCTTGCCGCAACTGCTTTGCAAGGACTTTCGCGTCTGGGTGGTTACCCTCGAGGTAGGAACTTAAAGGTGGCGCCAACATGTGGGTCAGAGGTGTGCCATGGGGGTTGGACCATGGCAGCCCATAGGAAACCTTAGAACCCATCAACATGTAGAAGATTGAATCGCAATGGAATGGTGTAGGTTTAGAAACAATCTAGGCTAGGAGAACAAGTGCTTGTTCCGAAGCGGTGTGCCATGGGGATTGGGAGAGGAAAACATGCAAGAATGAATAGATATATGTTTGACGTTCCATGCTGCTTGCACTCTATGTTAAACTGAAAGCTGGTACCAACATGTGGGTCAGAATCGGTGTGCCATGGGGATTGGATCACGGCAACCCACAGAGAACCTTAGAAAACATCAACATGTAGAAGATTGAATCGCAGTGGAATCGTGTAGGTTTAGAAACAATCTAGGAGAAAAAGTGCTTGTTTCGAAGCGGTGTGCCATTGTGTTTTCCAAATGGGGTAAGTTTTTACATTCGTGGGGTAAGCGGTGTGCCATGGGGGTGGGTCAAGTTCATGTGCGATGGGGTAAGTTAGCACGTCGGGTCGTACAGCCTATCCTTTGGCACATGTTGAGCGATCAATACAGAAATCAAGGGAGCTGATACATTTGGACTTGGATGCCTTCAAGCGTCGAAAGTTGAGAAGCTCGCTGACTGTGCGACAATTTCAGACTTGTCGCGCAAAGCTGCGGCGCAAGTGCAAGAAGCTGCAAGCAGAAATAGATTTGATCAAAGTTGAAGAACTGGCTGGGCAAGTGCAGCATGTTTGGTGCAGTAGGGCTGGACTGGCTCCACCCAATATCCCTCCGCAGAGTTGGAGCTGAGGAAGGTAAGGTTGTGTCCAGAACGTGCATCACCCAAGTGAGGGATGCCTTCGCACAGATAGTCAGAAGAGGCAATGTTGCAGAGTTGACCTTGGAGGCTGAAGCGCCGACCATTGTTGTTTCCCATTTGCATATGAAGCCTCCCTGAGTCTTCGCTCTTTTGACTCGGAGCTGTTGGGACGGACTCTGAGAGCGAAGTGGAAAGACCGTAGAGTACTTCACAAAATCTCAGCCCTTGCTGAGCAAAGATGCTGGTACTATAGCGCAGGCTATAGTAAACATTGCCAAGAACCTTTATACTGACATTGCTAGACCAGCCTGCGACGAAGCCTTCGCAAACTATGACGTTGGTTTTGATTCTGACTGACTGATAGCTCCGCGCCGGCCGCCGCAAAAAAAACAGTGCCAAACAAAGAGGGTATAATAAGGAGACGGCCACTGGCAGGAGCTCCGACACAGAAGCAGCCAGAAATTCCCTCTCGTTCTCGGTCGGTGGCCATAGTGATGGGGCTTAAGGCCCTATTGGTAACATCAGAAGCTTGTTGAACCCAGTTGTTGAATTGATTAATAAGACAACTTCTTGTGAAAATCCTAATATCCCGGAGAGGTGCGTACAAAGGCCACGAAGCAAAAGGACTTCAATTTCTACCATGACAAGTTGGGCACAGTTGTCAATGTGTTCGCCAATGACAACTTCAAGGTGCTGTTGGAAGAGGGCTAAAAGAAAGGTGAACAGCGAAAGTATGGAGGCAGATTAGAAAGCTGAATGCCACACCCTAACTCAGGGTAGACTCAAAGAGGACAGTGTCCTCAGCGAAAAGCTATACAGGTCTTGCAGGGTTCAAGACCAAAAGCTGTACAGGTAAACTTTGCAAACAAAGCGGAGCTTTCCCACACGAAGTGGTGCCCGAAGCAATCCGGGCAACCTAAAGCTAAACAAGATTCAAAACCTAGATGCCGGTGGTGGCTGAAAGGCAAAAACTCTCAGCCCACCTTGTACATGACACAGTCAAGGAAAAGTCAAGGAAAGACCCACCACTGAAGGACAACTCTGCGCAATTGCGCGGCCAGGCAAAGCGTGTAAGGCAGAAGTGTTGGGCAAAGACCACTGTACCCTGCGGTGGCCGGTGCAAGGGAAAAGCACCTCCCTCATCAGAAACGCTCGTTCCAAAACTCAGAATCGAGGGGAAACGAACCCCAAAGCGTTGCCAGTCCATCTTGAAGAGGAAACGAACCTCAGGCCAACTGTAACGACAGAGGTAATGCCGGGCGAGCCACAAGGGCCAGCAACAATGAAGTTGCCGGCAGGAGCCGAACTTGACGCGAAGCATCAAAAAACTCTCGAGCTGTTGGGAGACGCAGATGGCATCTAGTGGACCGTTTTCCTAGCGGAATTTTGGATGACCCACAGATAGGTACAACCAACTTTTGCAGCAAAAAAGCAACGAGACGCTGCTGTTTGGTTTGACATGGGTGCAACGCAAACTATGAGAACGCTATTGGGCGTTAATGCGCGCTAATACACGTTGTGCTGCTTCCCGTAAGGCCAGTAGCAAGTGCAACCCCGGTATACCAGCGTTTTTTTTGGGGATTTTTTTCCTCTCGCTAGCGCAAAAAAAGACAAGAACACCAACATATCCCAACATGCCATAATGTCTGCCGAACATGGCACTTCAACCGGTGTTCCCAACATGGTACGATGTCGCTGACGCCGCCCCCGTTGCAGGAGCTCCAGTGGGTGCCACCCGTCTTCGGGCCAAAGAAGGAAAAATTGCAACTCGCCACCAACCAGACTGGACGAGGTGAATGTCCCGTGTGGTTCCTCCAGCGGCGGTCTGTGTCCGACAGAGTGGTTGAAAGGAGGACAGGAACAGACAACCTTTTTTGGGGGGGGAAGTGTTGTTTTTATGGAATCCATTATTGCACAGAAAATGTTTGTTTGTTCACTGTCACATGCAACTAATATATTTGGGGTGGGTTTCGGGTGATTGTTTTTCCCGGGCAGGTTTCGGCTTCATTGGGCCAATGCCTGGAATTGTGTTCTTTTTCACCGCTTCATGGGGACATCAAAATCCATGTTTTGTGTTTTCGACATGATTTGGCACCCCGTTTGTGGCTCCCAGAATCAATCGACCTAACAGAATCGTTTGGACTTTGAGGTGAGTTGTTTCCTAGCCTTTCAAAGACCCTTCGATTCAGGAACCCCTCTTCTCAAACCATTCATGGCCTTCTTCAATCACAAAATGACGCGCTGTCCGTTCATGGTGATGTTCCCTGGCAACAAAACGAGATCACAAGCATCTGTCTCCACTGGTGCAAACATGAAAGCTGTGGAAACATCTGCAGTCACCAAGCTCAGGTTCTCAATCACCGAAAAGGCACGCAAAGAATCTAGTGGAGAGGGGTGCCTTCATTTTTTTTGGGGGGGCGTTCAGGATTTGGCGCGGAGTCTCCTAAAAGTGCTTGTTTGGTTGCAAAATGTTTTGCAAATTGCCATGGAAGTAACTGAAGGAACTTCTGGGCATGCACATACATCTCCACCTTAATTGGTGTGTTTTCGCTCTTTAACGCCTTCCTGGAACCCCAATTGGGTCATATCTTGGTGAGACGTTCCCTCTGAGCTGAGGCATACGCAGTTGACCTATTGCTTCAGCCCCAAATGTTTGGAGCTGGATTGAGGAGCTCGGTCAAAACCTTTTTTTTTGCGACCGAAAGAACGCTAGCTAATGATGTCACTTTAGAGTGACCGGTCGTGAAATTCGACATCTCTCATGGTTTCACCAGGTCTTTCACAGCTTGTCCCAACACGTTTCGCCTGCGAAGCAGGATTGTCGAGGCGAGCTAGTTGAGCAAAGGTCTTGACGCAAAAGGGATGGCATTCAGAACGCATCTCAACATCCACAAGGAAGGGAGCGGTTTTTTACACCAAACAGAAGTTCCTCTTTTGGTATGCATGTGCGGTTGAAGCGAGAATGCTAGGCCAACAGTGTATATCAACCGCTTGCTTTCAGCCTGAGAGGTGTTTAAGTGTACAAACCTAATCCCTTCCTCCAGTTCTAATAAACACCCCCACACAAGACGCTCCGCTGAGTGTGCGATTCAAGCATGGAGCTCCCCTGTACAGAGAGTCATGTTGAACATCCAGTGCAGAAAGATGGCAGAAAGCATGTAGACTGTAGACTGTTGCTATTTGTTGACGAATCCCCCCAAAGCAAAGGAACATTATTTACAATCCAAATTTGGGAAAGGCTATGAATCACTCTTCTACACGATTGTCCCAGACATCTAATGGCTCCCATGGCGATCGATACTTGCAAAAAACCGCCATCGGGCGTACGCATCGTCGCCCATGTCCACCTGCATGATGGGTTGCAGGATCCATGTGAGTTTTTAATTAGCTGGTTTTGCATTGGGATGATTTATGTTGTGTTTATTTTTTCAATAGTTTTTTCTATATGACTTTCCAGTTTCCTCAAGCAGATCCAGTTGGCCGTCCAAGCAATAGGTTTGTTATATTTCCATTTTTGCTCCAGGGGTCAAACGGAGGGGTCTCCCTACACGCATCAACTACTTCCTTTGATTGTGAAGGGTGCCTAGCTTCTTCTCAGAAGAGTATACGAGTTTCAGCAGGAGGGGACAGGGTTCGCCAGCGCGGCCAGAGGACAGCAACATGGGGTTCAGGAGCGACACAGGTAACTAGCCCCAAATCGCACTGGATTCATGATCCAGCCTTCCATAGCCATCCTATTTTCTCCCAGCACCCCGGCCACCAACACCACCCACCTTGTTTCATCTGCAAAAGCCAAGTGCCGCGCAGGTGGGGAGCCATCTCGAAGACCTCCCACCAAAGCCAAGTGCCGCAGGGCCTCGAATCGAGGGGAGCTGGTCGGTGCCTCCACCCGACCGAGGCTGAGACCGACGGCGCCAAGTGCCGCTGCGACGCCGTGTGGTACGGAGACACGTGCGGAGACCGTGTGGGTGTGTCCATCGTGGGGGAGGGGTGAGGGTTTCAGGTGCGATGGGTTTGAAGTCCAGAGTACCTCCAAGACCTAAATCACTAACATTGAATCATATGAATTCGGCGCCAAGTTAGGGGCATGAATGAAGAACCTACTTGAGGAGGTGTGCACACATGCTTGATGGGACCCAACACCGGATGCTCCGATGCTCCGATGACCCCCCGAAAGCAAGGCCTCGCCTTTGGGTGGTTGAGAAACTCGAAGCTCATCATGATGTGCACTGCGGACTCATTTTTAGCTCAGTGCCCTGGGGTCAAGAAACAGGAGGGTCAAGGCTTCCGGAAATCCATGTTTGCGTGCCACAGGTGTCATTCGGCAGTGCAAGAGATAGTCTGAAGGCAGATGTCACAGATCTTTGGTGTAGATAGACATATTTAGGTCAGGTGGGTATCCAAAGGGACATATATTTCCCGCACAAGACATATTTTAGAGGATGGATTCTATATGTTCTAGCAGGCCGCAAACCAGCCGTGCCCAAACATGAAGAAGAAAGGACAGATGACAGCTCCTGCCAGGATCGCCTATGGCTGCAAGACCTGTGGCAGGGGCCCTGCTGTAGGGTTGAAGATTGGCTCGAAAGGGTAAATTCCCAAAGGCTCCCAACCATGGTGAGGTATCCTGAGCGCGACTTTGGTGGTTGGATCTCAAACAATGTGAAATCTGGAGAAATCTCAAAATCCTTTTGCAAAGGATTCTTCCTACGCCCACCGTTTTTCAAGAATTCCTACACCCCTTGGAACTCAGAGCGGCAAACTACGGATCTCAGGTGGTGCGAGATGTTCGGTTTTGCAACAGTATACGTAGAACAGTCATGAAGAAATTTATGATTCCCAGTCCACCTCATTCTTCCACCCCACATTTGGTGCTATCACCTTGCAGAAATGGGAGGTCACTCAGCAATTCGACCGCAAGAAGGTTCAATCATGTTCAATCTATTTGGCTCAATCTATTGAAGACGGTTTTACTATATCTTCAATCAATCCAAGTCCCAAGCAGATCCATGATCCATGTCGGGTCGTATCTGGGGTCGGGTCACTGGAGGATGTTCTCCACGTCTGGACTCCGGGGTCTTGAGATCGAACAGGTCTTCGAACATCGAACATCACAGTGCTTCTTTGTCTGGCTGCTTTCTTGAAAGAAACACACCAAGAACATCAATCCAATTAGATCAATCAAGAATGTGGAATCTCAATCATGGACCTTTCCGAATGCTTCGACTCCCCATCTAGCTCAACGCTCAAACAGCTCAACCGTGTCTGAAACGCGCTCCTCTTCCGCGCTCCGAGGCCTTTCCTCGGCCAGCTGCATTTGCGTCTTCTGCTTCGATGCCCCTCGCCGCCACCGTCGTCGCCGCGTCTCGACCCGGTTTTCCGGGGGCGTGCGGGGTGAACTTCGGCGGTTCGCGCACCGCGGGGAGAGCCATTGTTCCAACGGGGAGACCCAATGACCTGGAATAGAAGGATCCCGTTGGTCGTAAAGAACCTGGAATCAGTCAGAGATGGTGGTGTGGTCTCAAAGGCAACTCGGTCTTCGCAGTGGGCTGGGTGGTGCAGATAGACCCAGACGGTCTTGGTAGATTTCTTGGAGTCAAGGGCCACGGCAGCCTTGTCAATTTGGGATCAATTTGGTTTGGGTGGCGACATGCTACCTTGTGCTTTTCAAACCGCCAAACAGGTGTTTGGAATCATGTGGAATCAACCTGCACGATACTTTTACAGCACAAAAGTCCTACAACCCTGCACTAATGATTCATTTGCAAAGCGTGGCGATAGGATGCGTGGCGTCTTTCGGCGTCTTTCGCCGATTTGAGAGGCAAATCTTTTTTTTTGTGGGAAGGAAAATCGTTTGAATCAATCGTTTGTGAGCGCGCATTGTCTATGGTTTATTTATGCACGCGTGCAGGGTCTATTCGTTTGGCAGGGTGCCAGCAAGGCCAAGCCTGGATCTTGCCATAAAGCAACGATTTCTGGGCGTTGTAAGTTGTATGTGTTTTGGGGTCGTGTTGATTTGTTTGGTTTGTGTTTCTGTTTACCAGCATTTCATGGGTTGTTGTGTCCGTTACACACATTGAGGTTGCTTCATGCAAAGCGTGCTCAGTTATGAGCGTGCAAGGGAGTTGAACCAACGACGGGGGGTGACTGAGGCACGTCTCCTTACGCCAGCGTGATGGCTTCACTGCATGGTCTTTGTTTGTTCACGAATCAAGCATCCTTTCGATTTAGGTATCACTCACTGTTGCTGCTCCGGACATCCCGGCTCGTGCTGGACAGCTGGACATCCCGGAGCGAAGATCCGGGCATGGGCGTTGCCACCGTTGGACGACCGTCGGACGACCACCGCCTCTTCTCCCGGCTGAATCTGCCGATCACCCAGGCTGGTGACCATGAGGGCCATGACTTCTACATCTCTCGTTCTGACTATGGCTGTTGTGACTGTGGTGATGCTTGGGGCTCCCAGTGTTTTCCCGGTCCAAAGGGGCCAGTTTTCTTTTTTGCGGCTGGCCGAGGTAGAGAAGGAGAGCCAGGTGAAAAAGACTCGACCCATCATCGACTAGTGACTATGGTGACTGGTTTTGACATTTGGATAAATTTGGTGTTTGTATCAGCTTCCAAGACAACTGGGAAGAAAAGTGTAGTTGTTGGACCTCAACAGGTCTCAATTGACCTGTGAAGTCGGATGCTGATTGATTCACAACTCTTCTCAGGCGACGTTGAAAGCATTTTTCCATTTCTGTTGATTCTTCTGTCCATCCATTGCACTGCCACCAAATGACAAGGGATGGAGAGTGGCAGAAAGATCAGAAAGATCTCTTCTTTAATCTTCTTTACCCTGTTGTTGTTTGTTTCCAATCAATCAGCAACAACATAATTACCTCGCGTGACAGCAACAGAAGAATAACAGTAACAGAATCGTATGGTGGTTGACCAGGTCCGTCAGCGTGGCCATGGTGGAAGGGCGGCCGGGTGCGAAGGGTGTCATCCATTCACGGACCCACCCGGAATAGGGAGCACTCCACCCCCCTATATATAACAGTTAACATGTTTAGTCAAAATTGCCAGGTGAGCTAGAGACCTGGACTAGTCTAAGAGATTCTGGGGGTGTAAAAGCACCCATATATTATATATCTTGACAGACCTTTCTGGCTGGGACAGGTTCATCTCTTGGGTTGTGCAGGAATCCCAGGAACGACGTGGTCGTGTGTTGCTATTCGGGGGTTGTCCAGGTTCGGAATGTCCGTCGGTTCCGGCTTGGCTCGCGTCCATGTCAACGGACCACCAAGTTCATGTCACATGTCACAGACTGCACACCAAAGATTCTATTACTGCATGTAGCTGCTTGAGGTTTTCCCAGGCCCATGCTCCAGGCTGTTGAGGCTTGCGAAACAGAAGCACGGCTGCAGAAGAGCATGCCAAACCCAAGATGATAGAGCGAAAGAAGCAGCCCTCATTCCCAACCATACCAAAAGTGTTGCTTTTGTAGGTGCTCTGTTGGTACCCAAATTCCACATGTCACGTGTTGTTGATTTCTTTTTGTTTGTTTGTGTGTTTGTGTTTTTGTATGTTTTTGTTTATTTTTTTTTTTCTCTTGATCTCATTATATATAATCTCTCTCTCTCTCTCTCTTTCGCCTAGACCTCCCCAGAGAAAAAAACCTCCCAGGCCTACGCTTGGCGTCCCAGTGGCTTCTGCCGGCACCACCCAGGGCCTCGTCCGGAGATTGCCCCTTGGACGCCCACAGAGCGTGAGCGACATGTGCGCGCCTGAACGAAGCACGCCCGCAGCACGGGCAAACCGCCTCTTTGCTTCACCCCTTTTTTTTCCCAAGCCAGGACGAGTTCAGTGGGACCTGTGCAAAAACCTTTTGGTGTAGGGGGATATCCAGGACACCGTACCCCATACCAAA